GCAAGTACCCTCGTCACCACCGCCTGGATGTCCTGAATCGACTCAAAATGGGCTCCTTTGTTCTAGGGAACAAAAAAAATCACAGGGTGATATATCGGGCGAATAAGGCGGTTGTTGCATTATGGGGATCCCTTTAGAGGCCAAATACTGAGACACGCTGAGGGCTGTGTGACACGGCGCGTTGTTGTGATGAAGGATCGAGTTACGAACGAAATCTGGGCGCCAAATTCTCGCAATATAGATTTGATTTACGGTTTGTCCCGGTGGAATAGATTTGTTGTAGACGATTCCACAGCAATCAAGAAAAGTAAAAATCACCTACCGCTCCGCGCCTCGTCTCGCCCGGTCCTTAAACTCTTTTTGCCATTGAAACACCTGGGCACGACTAGGAGCACTATCGCTATGCACTTTTACAATTTGAGCGTACGTCTCCGAAGCTGTTTTGCTCAATTTGGCGCAAAATTTCATCGCGACTCGTTGCTTGTTTTTCCATCTTCGTGACGAACACCACGAACACACACTTACTCAACACGACACAGCAGGCGAGCTAAACAAACTAGAGCAATGGCAAATATATCAATGGACAGGAGAGGGATGCCGGGATAATCGAAAGGGAATTGCAATTTAGAAGGGTTACCACAATCGCGGCAATATAATCAGTCCCATTACTTTAGGGTCACACCTCGTATGGGAACTTGGGTTGTCGTATACCCGAACGGACGGCCACGCCTAAATTGATTCGCTTCGTCATTTCATGTAATTTCATAATAAAATTGAGCTCAGAAAATGAGGAGAATATCAATTTTTTAACTTAAAAATATAAGATTAATTTTTTGGATTGATTTCTGGGACCCACTAGAGGATATCCAGCACTTTTAGGCTTGAGAAGTTGAGCGCTTAAATATTTTTAAGTCGTGAAAAGGATTTCCACTTGACTTGACGTGGCTGAACTTAATTTCAGATTTCTCAAGTGTTAAAAGCACATAAAATTAAGAACTTTTAAAATATAGAAAAAAAAGCGGTGAGCAGCTTTTTGCTTTGAATTTACATTAACGAAAAGCGGCATAAGACCAACTGCAAAACAAACAATAAAAACATTAAATCAGTAGCGACACACTCTTTCAAACTATTTTACAGCGCAGAGTTGTTGCGTGCATAAATGCATTAAAGAAAGGTTACATGATAACAAAAGCAACAACAAAACAAGCTAAAGAATGCATTAAAAGTGGAAAGTTTTTAAGAATTTTTCTCGAGCACATGACTAAAACTCCGCCAAAAAAGCAGAAAGTAAAGGTGTGAAATAAATATACAGTGCCCTCGCGAAACCGTGAACCGATTAAAAGCAAGGGTGATCACATTTTCGCTTTTCGCTGAATCGGCCGACCTCCTCCAATTTTAGGGATCTACAGTTTATATTAAACCGCCTCCGAACGGCTGATGGTTTCTATGAGGAGTTTTATTTCAAGTCAATAATCTCCTCGGAGCGGTTGGCATTCCCTGCGAATAGCACAACAATTTTTCGCCATTGATTATCTTGGGTTTTCGGCGTAAATTACAAATATTCAGTGAAAGTCAAATTGCATTTGGAACTTTTGCACCGTCTTTAAAGACTATTTCTAAGTGGTTCCGAAGATTCCGGACCGGTCATTATTACGTAGAGGACGAGCCCCGAGAATGGTCAATCTAGCAACTTTAGTAAAATCGTTACTAGTGACGACTCTTGGTTCCACAAGAACGATGCAGAAACCAATCAGCAGTCCATGGTATGGAGCCCAACAGAAGCAAACCCGCCGGTAAAATCTAAGCAAAAAAAATCAGCTGCAAAAGTTATGATATTTACTTCACCCGATCTAATCTGTTATTCCACTGGAAAAGGGTCTGGCAGTAACTGCAAAATGGTACACCGAAGATTGCTTACCAAAAATTTGTTGGAAAATAGGAAGAAAGAGGATAGAAGAAATACGTCCAGCGCAATGTTCATGGGATAATAATTGAAAAAAAAAATTAAAAGGAAAGGCCTTTAATAGCGACGAGGAGATAATTAATGGGATTAATGCTAAACTTGACAAGCTTAGAAAGCCAGATTTTGAGACTATTTTCAAAAGTGTTTCTATAGTCGTTCTAAAAAAGGTCAAAGATTACGAATAAATACAAAAATAAATTTTTTCAAGCTCAGCTACCGAACTTTTGTTAATCCCCTAGTATGTTGATAAAAACATTCCTGTTTTTGACTACAATTCTTTTGGATGAGATGAGACATTATATATATTTTGTCTTAAACATAAAATGAAATCTATTATATAACAGTGTTATGTATTTCCGGTGGAACAAATGAGTGATGAAATCAATTCGTGAAAATTATGGAAGTCGTCCAGACTGTGTTGGAACTCTTATAATCAGAAGGACATTTAAAATTCTTACAAAAACGATGCTTCTTACCTTTTTCAATTACCGTTTTTTATTTTTGTTTTTTTTTGTCTTTACTCCTGGACGTAAGTTTTATATGCCAAAAATTTCAATGTTTGAGCTTAGCTTAAATGGAGCGACCAACTGAGGTTGAGAAGATAATTTTTCTCCGGTTTTTGCTAGAAGGCGATCACCGTATATTTTTTTTTAAATGCTGGAGCCATCCTTCACTGGCATTTCGTTCTCATTGTTTTTTTTTTTAAATGCAACTCTTTAGACTTTTCTTTCAGCATTAATCCGCTAACAGGCGGATTTTTGTTTCGCATTCGGATGAACCAATGGTAGAGATGTTTTTCCATTTGAGGTAGTTCTGACGCCCTCATGATTTTCCTTTTTCTGGGCTCTGAAAATGTGAAATTTACCATTTTCGAAGACAATGCGAGAGGAAACACATTAACTGATAAAAAAATTTAACATTTTAACGGATTTTGTATTGTCAACAAACATAAGTTGCACTCTTTGTTGTTCACATTTTAGAGCCTTTTGAATTTGTTCATCGTTTAAGGTGGTCAATGCAAAAAAAAAAAGGATTTTGTTCACATTAAGTGATGTTCATAGTATTGAGTGTTCACGGCCTCGCGAGTGCACTGTATATGCTTGTAAAATGAGACAGCACCGTAAACGGAAGCTTCTTTTAACGGTACATGCGCGTATACATAGATTTGTCTACATGAATTGACATATGCAAATATCGCACCTAAGCACAATGCATAATATTATAACAAAAGAACAACAATAAAGCTAAAACAACTCTATTAATGTATTACGTAGAAAAGAGCAAAAATAAAAGTTGACAAAGCTTCAAAAGTTTATTTATTTGTCTCTCGTTCAGGTGCTCTCTCACGCGCTCTCTTTTAATGAGCAAATGCAAAAGCACGAGGGCAGCAAATGGCACCGAAAAATAAACACAATAAGAGAGCGAAATGTTTCCAGACCGAAAAACCCCAAAAAATGACACAGCAACTGTCATAGTCCTCCAATGCACGCGTTTGTCTACAAATAACGGTATTTAGTGCGTACAAACTTTATGAGGTTTATGCTAATTCGGTGATGTTTATATTGTTTTACCGCTCTCTTATTTTTATTTTGTATTTCTATTTTTTTGTGTTACTCGTACGCAAAGTAATTGCATTTCCTGGCATCCTGCCTCACGCGCCGAATTCCCTTCGCATTCATGCGCCATGTCAACATGTCGCGTGCCACGGTGAGCTCTTATGTTTATTTATAGGTGTTTGTGTTGTGTTGTGTTTGTGTATGAGTGTGTTTGCCAACTTTTATGCAAATGCGTGCAAACAATTTTGTTTTATTGTTTATAACATTTACGGTAATTTTTGTTTTTGTATTTGCTGTTTGCTAGTTAACTACGGCCCACGGGCAAAAGCGCAATCTCAACTCCAAAACAACAACAACAACAACAACAACAACAGCGGCAACACATAAATTAACTAACGGTGACACGCAAAATAAACACGGTGAAGGGATATTGCAAAGCGGTCGGGAAATTCATTAGAACTTTTTTGGTTTTATATAAAAAAAAACCGGCATGTCTAAGCGATTACGAGCGCCATTTGTCCATTTTTTTCATATACTGCCCTGTGAAGAGTATTCGGCATCCCACTAATTACTGAATTTTTTTACCAAGTGAAGTAATGAAGTTTTATCAGTAAAACAGTGAAAATACAATGAATTAGTGATAATAACATTAATATTTAGTAGGTCCACCCTTCGATTTAATAGCCCACATGTGCTCAATGAGATCTAGATCTGGAGACTATGCAGGCCAATCTAACAAAACAATGTTGTTGTTATCTCTAAACCAACACATCGTAGTTCACTGATTTGTGACAAGGAGCATAGTCTTGCTGAAATTGATCCCCGTCTAATTTAGTATCGCCGAAAATGCGCATTAACGAAGCAGAAGAACAGCTTCTAATACATTTATGTACTGTTGACTATCCTTGCGACCCTCGCAAACGAACGGATGATTGATTGACTGACTCTTCCCAACCCGTCGCCTCACAAATGTCGCACCAACTGTTCGAAATATCTGTAGAAAAAAAAAATAATGTTTTCATAAGATTTGTATTATGTCTTCAAAATTGCACTAGGATAAGAAGCTGTTAATACTTTAAGACGATCTTAACTAAGCCTACGTCGAAGTTTGTTTCATCTGACACACACAGAATATTCGACCAATCTTCTTCCGTGAAATGTTGGTATTGGCGAGCCCATTCCAAATGATTTTTCTTATTCTTTTCTGAGAGCCATGGCTTCTTTCGGGCTTTACATCCTTTTAAACCTGACTCCAGAAGTCTTCTTCTAGCTGTTCGAGCACTAACTGGTTTACTAAATTCATCCGAAAGGGCAGCTGCAAGGGCAGAAGAAGATTTTTGTATTTATTCGTTGTTTAGAACTTTAAATAATACACTATTATATTTATTTATTTATTTTTTTATTTATTTATTTTTTTATTTATTTATTTATTTATTTATTTATTTACATTTCTGACCTCAACTATTATCTTTCTCTTGCAGTTTAATTCAACGTGACACTCGCCCCTCGCCGCTCATCAACTGTCGCATGATTAGCGGGAAGCATACGCGTGAATCGTCGAGAGCACCCGATCATCGTTCAGAGGCACGACTGCGTATCGATCCGAAGGTTTTGGTGTTCGTGGAGACAACATACTCAGGGCTCGGTCGAGATATTGCCGAACTATTGGTCTACAATAGAATTAAGTAAGTGTCTTTTCTGATATTACTTTAAGACAGCTGCTACACGTTGCTGCGGCTCTATTCTGTATTTTGTCCAATTTTTTTTTTTCTACTTGCCATTGCTAAGAACAATACTGAGTAACTCCTTATTCAAAAATCCTTTATATATAAACATTGTCACCGTAAAACAAAGAAATCTAGAAACTCTGTCATATACCTCCAACCAATTTTTTAGATATGAGAATTACTATTTGCTTCTCAAATGGAATACCATAAAATCGTTATGACCATGAAAGGTATAAAGACTTCTATTCAGCATGGCGGAAACCAGCTCTTTCTGCTGTTTTTATTTTATTTCATTTTATTAAATTTTTATTTAATTATTTCTTTATTATTGTATTATTTTTATTTGCTATTTTTTATTTTTTCAATTTTTTTTTAAATTAATGTTTTTTATTCTTTCTTTTTTGTTTTAATTATTTCAGATTATTAATTTAGTTGTATCTTTTTTATTAAATTATTCTATTTTTTCTTTAACTAGTTTATTGTTTTATACCGTTTTGTTTGAAATATTTTGTTATTTATTTTATTTAATTTATTATTTATATTTTTTATACTATTTTTGCTATTTGAGCACCATTTTGTTTTATTTTATTGTATATTTTATTAATTTTTTTTTGTTTTTAAATAAAAGTTTGAAATTTTCTTTTCTTATCTTGCTTTATTGGCTAAATTTTTTTTTGTGTTATATTTAATATATACTAATTATTTTCGTTTGTTTTCTTTAATTCTGATATTATTAGGTATTGTTTGAATATTTTTATTATTTTTTGTATATTATTTCACTTTATTTAATTTTTTAGTTCGTATTAAATATTTTATTTTATATGAATTTGTTCCAATCTTATTTTATTTTGTTTTATAAATATTTTTATTTTAATTATTTTTTTCTATTTTTTTATTTTTTTTTTATTTGTGTTCCATATCGTTTTATTTGATTTGATTTGTGTTATATGCTTTATTTTATATGTATATGATATTTTGTTTTAATTTACCTTGAAATAAAATTTTGTAATTTTCTTTTTTCTAACTTGTTCTGTTCAATTAAGTTTTTTTGTGTTATTTTAATTTTATATTATTTAATTTCGTTTAATATATTTTAATCCACTTTGTGTTGTTCTTGATATTTTTGGTACTGTTTTATTTTCTTCATATTTATTATTTTTATTTTATACAATTTATTTGGTTTACTTTTTTTTGACTTTGTTCCAATATTATTTTAATGTATTTTTTGTTTTATTTATTTTTTATTTGAATTAATTTTTACTTATTTCAGTAGATATATGTATAACTGTAAAATTATTGTATATGATATACTTTTTTATATGTACATATATATTTCTGAATAACAATTTTCCGTAGTTGGAAGCATTAACATATCGAGAAGCGCGGTCGAGTCAAGATGTTTTGTTATATCGAATTGAACGTTTACAAATTTCGTTGCATATGTTAAGGCGTTGTGGTGTTGGATGTAATTTGTGCCCCAGCTATTCCCAATGCTTGTGTAAATGATTGTTTTTTTTTTGTTTTATTCTACTTGTTTTTATTTTTTTTTTTATTACGTATGTTTTTTTTTTTAAATTACTTTATTTATTTATTTTTTAATTTATTTTCTATTTTTAATTTTGCTATTTTATTTGTTATTTTCGTGTTGTGCTTTATTTTTACAATTAATTTATATTTTTTATTTCGATATATTCTTTTCCATTAATTTTTTTTATATATTTTTACATTTTAGTTCCTTTTTTGATCTGGCAGGTTTGGTTTTAATTTATTTTTTTTATTTTATTTTTTTTTCAAATTTTTTATTTTTTTCTTTATTTTTTTATTTAGTTTTCGTCAACACTATAATATATCAATATGTCGTAGCATTGAACTCATTTAAATTAATCAATTCAAATAATTCAATATGCCAATAACTCGGTTACTGTTAGTTGATGCCTCTATTAATGCCACATCTTCCTAGAAATTGTCAATTAGTCTTGCGATGCTATATATATATAGATATATATGTAAAATATATAGTATGTGGTTCCAGATGCCAATCTTCATAGCTAATTTATGACATAAATTTCCACGCATGTACGAGTATGCGAGTTTATGTATGTATGTGGGAAAATTCCCCATTAACCTCATAACATTTAATATACTAACATTCTGTGAAACCCACAAATTTGTCATAATTTGGTTGAACTGGCGGAGCAGGCTCCATCTACTCGTGTATGTTGCTTCTCATTATTATTTATGGAGAAATCAATTGAAGCGAAATGCTAATGTGGAGCGCTTCCGCCGAGTATTCCAGAAATTACTGTTACATGCATATACATGCATACCCTGTAGTAAAATATCAAACTGATTAGAAACGATGCTTGTTTCCCAATTGAAATTAATAATTAAGATATAGACTGAAAAATACCAAATTGTTTATGTTTTCTTAATTTTTGTTTATTTTTGTGTTTCACTTTAGATAATATTTTAACAAATTTTCGCAAAGACATAGATACATATAGATTAAACAACTTCCCCGTCGACAGCTTGGTTGACTGGCCTATGCCGTACTAACTTTGGAGTACTTTCAATCAAACTCATTTGATGACATGCAGCATTCTGCGGCAGCATCTACGCGAGAACCTTCTGACATACATAAATTGTAGGGGGGGAAAAGTAAACATGAAAAGGAATAACAATTTCGAAATCATTGACCCACATTTGCATAATCCAACAACAACACCAAATGACTGCCTTATTATTCCTCTAGCCACAGTCACCCACACACAGAATCTCTGCTAACTATGCGAATGTGTTTGTGTCAGTGTTAGTTTGTTTCTATGGGTGAATATTGATTACAACAGTCGCATAATTTATTGTTGTTGTTCTTGTTGTTGGGAAGACTCAGTCAACCAGTCAGTCAGTGAGTCAGTTGTATAGAGCACAACCCTCACATATACATACATGCATATAACTCCGTTGTTATCAGTTGTCGTTGTTTTTATAATTATTATTGTTTTTGCACAAATGCACTGCGCGAATACACATCGAATATTATTGCCACCGCAACAGTCAGCGAATTAATTTCGCAACCAGAAATGGGTTGCCACTGAAACAACCGCAACAAATTTGTATGCAAAAACAACAAGTGAAACAAAGCAAGAAACAAAAACAAAAACAAATTTGTACAACATCAACCGTTCATTGCATACAAGCCTCAACTGACGCACACGCATACACAAGTAATCATTTACCCAAGCATTGGGAATAGTTGGCGCACAAATTACTTTACATGTAGCATCACAACGCCTTAACATATGCAACGAAATTTGTAAGCATTCAATTCGATATAACAAAGCAACTTGACTCGACCGCGCTTGTCGATATGTTAATGCTTCCAACTACGGAAAATTGATATGCAGAAATATATATGTACATATATAAATATATATCATATACAATAATTTTACAGTATATATATATATATATATATATATATATATATATATATATATCTTATCTTCAGTTTGTCAGTAATTGCAGCGTTGACCTCAGCAAAAGCTTTTTTAGATGCAGCAAATTTAACTTTACCCAAAGGCTAATGGGAAGAATTCTCTGGGGTTTGGTAATTGTGTACATACAAGGCTTTTGTTTTGCTTTTGGTTTGCTTAAGTCATGTGGAGTACACTTCAATGGTTCTAATTGGTCAGAATGTATGTATGAATGCCTATATTTACTTTTAAATATTCATACATGCAAAAGTAATTAATTAATTAATCATAATTGAAAAGTGATATCATTTAAAATATTTAATTTCATTGCATCGTTGTGGTTGAGATTGTTTTCTACTTTGAAACACACAATTACTCGTTCACCTCTTACATCTTTAATTGGAATTCCAAGATTGCTAATCAGGGAAATGAGTAATTATAAGGGTGACGATGAATTACACCTCCTGTTACATACCTCTTTGTAAGCAAGCGGCTGGTGAAATGTGAGCGGTTTGCGGTGAGTCGGCAGAAATGGTCTCCAAGTTGGGAGGCACGTTCAGGAAAATGGCGTTGGCAAGGAATCATCCAATATGAGATATTACCCCATGACCGAACTCTTAATTCAAGCAACGCCATATTCCTAGGAAAAGTTAAAAAAAAAAATTTTCGGGAAGGGGACCAGGAACCGACATATTCTAAAAAATCGGACTACTCTTATCTCCGGGAAGTGGACCAAGGACTGAACTAATCAAAATGTTCGTATTTATGGTTCGGACTTCTTGAAATTCGGCGAATAGTTGTCTTTTTGTTTAGATGACTTTTCAAAAAGTCGGATTATTCCTGTTTCTTCTTCTTATTTACTGGCGTAGACACCGCTTACCCGATTATAGCCGATTTAACATGATGAGTAACAATGATCATGAGTATTTTTCAGGCGCTCATAAAAGGCATATTTGGCCAAATCCTCCTTAACTTCCGTCGGGGCGTGGGCGCAAATCAGTGATATGTTGAAAAATTTCACTTTGATGCGGATTGTGGCGAGGCATTCATCCACCGGGGTGAATGCCAGTACTCGACGAAAGAGTCTCTCTCCCACCACAAATCCAATACCAAATTCCTCCAACTCCTTTATATGGCCGCTGTAGCAAAAGTCACACATAGTCCATCACACTTCTTGGACGGCGGTAATGTCAGCCATTATTCTTACAAGGACATCAACCAGCTGGGCAGTGGCTCCTTCACAATTAAGGAACTAGATATTCCAGGAGCATGCCCTCAAATCGTGATCCTTAATTCGTTTGCAGGGGTCAACAACAGAAAGGGGGTATCTCATCCGAGGCGTGGCTATATTTTTTATTGGAGCTGGTTTCTACGTGGCGGGTCCCAAACCCAGCACACAACCTCACTAGGCGAGTAAGTTTAAAGTTTTTTTTTACACATTTATATAGCGTGCCGCTTGCTTCAAGACCGACGCCCGCTCGCTGC